TCATTGACTTGGTGACTGGTATACTGAGCATCATATATTCTTCGATGAAGTGCCTGCTCAAATCTTGTAAAAGATTTCTCTCCCTCTCAAATAAGGATCTTGCTGTATTCTGGATATAAGCTCTTCATCCGATATAGGATTTGCAAATGTTTCTTACCGGTCTGAGGCTTATCTGTTCATTCTTTTAACATTTTTTTTTGAAAAGCAGTACTACTTAATTTTGATAATGTCCAATTATCAATGCTTTCTTTTTGGATTATGCTTCTGATGTTGTAGCAAATAAGCCTTTGCCTTAAGTACGGTCACAAAGATATTTTCCTGTGTTTTCTTGCACAATTTTTAGAGTTTTAGGTTTTACATTTAGATCAGTCATTTATTTTGCATGAATCTCTGCATATGGTGCAAGATATGGATCTAAGGTTTAATTTATTTATTTTGTTTTTGTATGTAGATATTCAATTTTTCCAGAATCATTTGTTGGCAAAACTATCCTTTCTATACGGAATCTTCTTTACAACCTTGTCATAAATCAGTTGTTCATACACGTATGGATCTATTTCATAACTCTCAACTCTGTTCTATTGAGCTATTTTTTCAACAAAAATTGAAACTGTTCTGTCAATACAATCTGTCTTGATTGGTTTTATAATGAGACTTTAAATCAGGTAGTATTAGTCTTCTAACCTTGTTCTACTGTTTCAAAACGATTTTGTCTATTTTAGTTCTTTGCATTTCCATATGAGTATTTCATAATCAGCCTGTTGATTTCTACAAAAATATATGCCCATATATTGATTGAAAATGTACTGAATTTATAGGTCAGTTTGGGGATCATTATCATCTTAAAAATATCCAGTCTTCGGATGGATGTACATGGTATATCTCTTCATTTACTTAGGACATCTTCAATCACTCTCACTGTTTTATAGTTGTAAGTGGACAGACATTGCATTAATTTTGCATGATCTCTGAGTATTTCATATTTTTGTTATTGTAGATGGTATCTTAAATTTATGGTCATTCATTACTAAATGTGTAAGTACAATTGTTTTTTGTATATTGACTTTATCTTCTGCAACCTCACTAAACTCATTATTCCTAGAAATTTGTTGTAGTTTCTATTGGATTTTTTACATAGATGATCATGGTGTCTGTAAATAAAGGGACAGTTTTACTTCTACTTTTCCACCCTCAAAACCCTTTTTCTTGCTTTGTTGCACTGGCTAGCACTTCTAGTACATGGTGAATAGGAACAATAAGAGAAAACATCCATGTCTTGTTCTGCATCTTAGGAGAAAACATTCAGTTTTTATCATTAAGTATGTTGTTAGCTATAGGATTTTTACAGATGGCTTTTATCAGGTTGAAGAAGTTCCCTTGTGTTCTTATTTCCCTCTTGCATTTTTATTTTCTTTTGTTTGATAGACTTCTTTTAACATTTTGTATGTTGCAGGTCCACTGGTGATCAATTCTTTCCAATTTGTTTATCTGAAAAAGTATTTGTTGTCTTTTGTTTTTGAAAGATATTTTTGCTGGGTATAGAATTCTAAGCTGATGATTTTCATTTCAGTACATTAAATATGGGGCTTCGTTGTCTGCTCATTTATATTGATTATCTCTTACAAGAAATCTACTGTCATTGTCAGTTTTGTTCTTCTAAGTGTAATGTGTTGTTTTTTTTCTGGTTGTATTTACCCTTTTCTCTTTATACTGATTTAGACAATTTGACTGTTATGGACCTTGGTATGGTCTTCATTTTACTTAGGAGTGGGGTTCATTGGGCTTCATCAATATGTTGTTTCATAGAGCTCTGTACATTTGGGAACTTTTGGCATCATTTATTGTTTCCACCCCCCTGCTTTTGGGGACTCCAATTACAAGTATATAAGTCTGCTTGAGGTTGCCTTATAACTCACCAATGCTTTGTTTATTTTAAAAAATCCTTTGCTTGCTCTGTGGTTTGTTTGGTTTTTTTCTTTAATAAAAAGTGGCTCTTGTTATGTCTTCAAGTTCATGGATCTCTTTTTCTTTGATGTATAATCAGAACACATGCATTTTCCAACTCACACATTATGGTTTTTATCTCTGAAGTTCTATTTGCATGTGTTTTGTATCTTCAGTGTATCTACCTAACTTTGGGGATACATGGAATACAGTTATAAAAGCTCATTTATAAATGAGTTATAAATGAGAAGAGAGGGAAGTGGGGACCTGTTGTTAAATGGGCATAGAGTTTCAGTTTTGTAAGATGAAAAGATCATAAAAGATAAATCCGTCTTTTGTGGAGATGAATGTTGGTGATGGTTACACAGCATTGTGAATGTATTTAACATCACTGAAGTAAATCAGATGGCAAATTTTATATTAAGTATACTTTAGTACAATAGAAAACTGGAAAAAAATGGCAAGATAAAGTCTTACCCAGACCAACAAAAATTGAGGGAGTTTGTCCCCCAAGACCTGCCTTCAGGGTATGCTAGAGGGACGTCTGTAGTGTGCAATGGAAGAACACTGGGGCAGCACTGAGGCAAGTGAAGAATGAACCTTGTGGGCAGAATAAAGATGGGGCATGAACAGAATGCGGTGGTACTCCCAAGCAGCACATAAATCACTTTTAACCTTAGTATGAAGTTAAAACACAAAAAATCATTAAAATAACTGTATAGGGGCACCTGGGGGGCTAATTTGGTTAAGTGTCTGACTCTTGATTTCAGCTCAGGTCATGAACTCCTTGTCTGTGTTTCCAAACCCCACATTGGGCTCTGCACAGACAGTGCAAAGTCTGCTTGGGACTCTCTCTCTCCCTGTCTCTCTGCCCCCCTCCAAAAATAAATAAATAAACTTAGAAAAAATAAAAAAAATAATAAATAGCTGTATAAAAATAATAAATTTCTTTTAAAAAATTTTTAATGTTTATTTAATTTTGAGACCAAGAGAGAGACAGAGCGTGAGCAGGGGAGGGGCAGAGAGAGAGGGAGACACAGAATCTGGAGCAGGATCCAGGCTCTGAGCTGTCAGCACAGAACCCGACGTGGGGTTTGAACTCACAAACTGTGAGATTGTGACCTGAGAGCCGAAGTCAGATGCTTAATTGACTGAGCCACCCAGGTGCCCCAGTAGATTTCCTCATTTGGCCAAAGACACGTATATTCGTAGAATAAATATGGAGAAACAAATACTGAAATCCGAGTAAAGTTGTAGCATTTTTATACAACGCTTGTTGGTTCTTGGATAGCCCAAACGTTGCTTTGTTTTGTACAATCTTCCTTTGGCTTTGGACCACTGGCTTCATTTTTGAATTGACAATTTCAATGAAAAATGTGCATCACTCCTAAGTTCTTAAAACTGTGCCAAGTGCTTTATCCAATAAATTAGTAGACTCTCAAATGAAACATTTTAAAGTTTATTTATGTATTTTGAGAGAGAGAAAGAGCACATGCACAAGCGGGGAGGGGCAGAGAGAAAGGGAGAGAGAGAATCCCGAGCAGGCTCTGCACTGTCAGCATGGGGCCCGACACGGGCCTCGATCTCATGAACCATGAGATCATGACCTGAGCTGAGATCAAGAGTCGGACACTTAACCCACTGAGCCACCAGGTGCCCCAAGAGAAAAATGAAAGGAAAACATCTCATGTGGCTTTTCTCAGTGCTCTTCTGAATCAACATAACAAAATACTTTATTAAACTTTTCTTTTTTTTTTTTCAAAAATTTTTTTTCAACGTTTTTATTTATTTATGGGACAGACAGAGACAGAGCATGAATGGGGGAGGGGCAGAGAGAGAGGGAGACACAGAATCGGAAACAGGCTCCAGGCTCCGAGCCATCAGCCCAGAGCCTGACGCGGGGCTCGAACTCCCGGACCGCGAGATCGTGACCTGGCTGAAGTCGGACGCTTAACCGACTGCGCCACCCAGGCGCCCCTTTATTAAACTTTTCAATTACAGAAAATATCTGATATTTTTTCCCATTTTTCAATAGCTTCAAAATCAAAAGAATGAAATGAATACGATAAGAAGCACTTTCAGGATTAAAGATTTAGACCAACAGTGTTTGCTTTTATGACCTTCGTGATGTCAGCTGTGCAGATCGGTCTGTCCCTGATGTGGGTGGGCCCCCTCCGGTCAGTGGAAGGCGTATACAGAACAAAAAGGCAGAGCCCCCTGGAATAAGAGGACACTCCGTTTGCCTGTGGGAACTGGGACATTGGCTTTCGAACTCTAACGAAAACATTGACTCTTTCTGGGTCTTAAGCCTGCTGGCCTTCAGGTGGCAACGACATCGGTCCTCCCCATCCTCTGGCTGCGTAGTCAGGCTGGACCTAAACTACTGGCCGTCCCCCACCGGTTTCCGGCTTCATGCCTGCACATCCTGGGTCTCCAGCCTTGTTGTCACGTGAGCCAGCTCCCTCTGGCAAATCCTGTAGGTTGTGGTTCTGTCCTGTTGGTTCTGTTTCCCTGGAAAGCCCCGGCTGATACGTCAGGTTTGCCGAGTGCTCTTGAAAACGATCCAAAATTGACTAGAAAATGAAGTCTGTGAGCCCTTCTCATGAGGTTATGCAGATTAGGACGTCTTGCAAAATGAGGCCTTATCACCGACTTGCAATGACATTGAAAAGAAAGAAGAAACTTCTGGACTCTTTCCTGTGATTGCACTTTGCAAGGTTAAGCTTGCTCAGTACTGGGAGTCACGTTTGTATCTGTCCTGCCAGCTGGGGTGTTTTATAATCCCTGGAACTCTTCCGCCCTTTTTGACTAAACAAAAATTCCATAATAACACGGTGCACACATACGCACGCCGAGTGAGTGGTGAGTGAGCGCAAAGCCGCTGGCCCGAGCGTCTCCCCTTTGTCTCTGTGCTCAGATTCCTGCCTAATCACAAAAATATTGTGCAAATGTCAGTCACATGAATCTGTTTGTGAAACCCCGCTTCCATGTGCGTGTTCTCCCAGGACAGCGCGCGGGGTGATTCAGCGCCAACCCGATTCCCTCCCGGAAGACACCGGGTGACACGATGTGGGGCAAAGCCCTCCTGAAGGTTAGCAAGTGTGGGCAAAGGCTGCAGAGACGCCCCTGACACTAATGCAGGGGCGCCGGCCTGGCCGCGTCTGCAGCAGTCGGGACCCTCTGGGGCCCCGGTTGTTCCGGAAGGTCGAGTGTAACAGCGAGACCGTCTCCAGGGTGTGAGGCAAATGACAGCACTAGTCATCCGTATCATGTTCGACAGCACAAACGTACGTAACAAAAATCTCCACGGAAAGAAACCGAGCACACGCTCTGCTCTCACCGGCCTCCTGAGCACGGCAGCTGTTCCGCGGTCTGTGGAACACGCGCCGCCTGTAAGTGGATTTGGAGCCAGCTTCTGTTGGGGGTGACGTCTGCGGCTACCTTGCAGAGGCCTCGTCACCGGGTGTCTGGGCGTCCGTGAGAGGTGAGTGCCGACGTCACCTGTCACCCAGTGTCTGGGCGTCTGCGTGAAGTGAGCACCGATGTCACCTGTCACCCGGTATCTGTGTGTCCGTGTGAGGCGAGCGCCCATGTCACCTGTGGGGCTGGGGACTCAGCCTCTGACTTCTCCAGGGAGGGGTCACCAGTTTCCTTCCTGCTTCAGTCATAGGAGATGCCCCTTTTTCTCTCTATGCTCTTGTTTAATCCCAACTCCAATAACCTTCTGGGATTGGAAGCTGCCCAAAGCCTGGTCCCGAGGCCACCCTGATCTGGCCTGTCACTGGGTGACAGGGGGCAAGGGCCAGCAGCCTCTACCATGCCTTGGCTCGTCCCTGGGGTTTGTCCTGCTGCAAACCCAGAACCCCACTTACAAGATCGCCGGGTTTTCTTTTTGAACGTTGTTTCCTCGTTGAACCCAAACAAGGCCATCTGTGGTCCCTCTGGCTTCCCAGGAGCCTCACACCCTGCCTGGTTCCGCTCACTCCATTCCCATGGGACACAGCAGCAAGCCGGGCCAGGGACACCCCGGCAAGCCGGTCAAGGGACACCCCGGCAAGCCGGGCGACACAGCAGGGCAGGAGGGCCAAGGTTTGGGTTGGTCAGCGCTGCTGCCTGGTGCCCCCAACAAGCTACTGTAAGTTCTCGACCCTTAGTTTCCATAAAATTTGGCTGATAACGTCCACCGCAGGGTCTTATTGTGAGAGCCGAGATGGGCGTCTAGGCGGCAAGGGGGGGGGGGGTTGGCACACAGTAGGCACTTAATAAATGGTGCCTTTCGTCGCCAGTGCAGAGTGTGGGGGCGACTTCCCACCTCTGGTTTCCACCAGTGATGCTCCAGCGGCTGGTTGTTCGGAACCGGATCTGTCCTCCCCTCCACCCGGGCCAGGCACGCCCCTCCGCTGGTGCTCTGTCTTCTGAACACGGCCGCTGGTTCCCTCCCCTGCTCTCCCTGCACACGGGGCCCCGGAGCCCCGTCTGTCTGTGTGTAACCGGCCCACTGTGATTTGCAGCCTGAGAAAGCGACGTGGACGGAGGGTTTCTGCCAACACCAGCATGAGCGCCGCTCCAGACGGTCCCCGCTCCCGGTGGCGGCAGCCGCGCTTGCAGACTCCCTGATGCGTCCCCAGGCTCAGCTAAGGAGTTCCGTGAGAAGTCGGCCCTTGGACGCCCCCGCCCCTCTTGAGGCCGAGCCTCACAACTACAGTGAATACACTCAGTTTCCAGTGTGGTGGCTTCCGGCATGTGGTGTTTATTACTTTTATACCAATTGACTTAGCAAGTGGGCAAAGATGTTAATTAATGAGTTTCTGCTGGGCGATCAGACATTCTCCTCCGATAGCACATGTCAAGGATAAATTGGATTCCGGATGAAACATGTACATGACTCTCCATCCTCCCCAGCTAGCCGTGTCCCACACACACAGCTGAGAGCAGGGCATCCTCACGGACACTTGTTCATTCAACTAATCTGGCCAGCGTTCACCCCGAGCACTTCCTCCAGGTTGGGCCACAGCGGTGGTGAGGCAGACGAGCCCTCACTTTCTGGGGCCTTCTGTTCTAGTGCAGAGCAGAGTGTGGTGAGAGGAGAGGCACACCATGGAGCAACAGGAAGTAGGGGAGGTGGTGAAATGCCATGCAGGGCGGTGGAGGCCAGTGCTGAGTAGCAGGGATGGGGGAGGGTCTTGGGTGGGCAGGGATGGAGGGAGGAAGGTCCTGGGTTGGACAGAATGGGTATGGGAGAGGGGGTCTTAGGTTCATCTGGGATGGGTGGGAGGGTCTTGGGTTGGCTGGGACAGGCCAGGGGAGGGTCTTGGGTTGGCTGGGATTGGTGTGGAGGGTCTTGGGTTGGACAGGACGGGTGGGAGGGTCTTGGGTTGGCTGGGATGGAGCGGGGAGGGTCTTGGGATGGAGCGGGGAGGGTCTTGGGTTGGACAGAATGGGTATGGGAGAGCGGGTCTTAGGTTCATCTGGGATGGGTGGGAGGATCTTGGGTTGGCTGGGACGGGCCGGGGGAGGGTCTTGGGTTGGCTGGGATTGGTGTGGAGGGTCTTGGGTTGGCTGGGATGGGCCAGGGGAGGGTCTTGGGTTGGCTGGGATTGGTGTGGAGGGTCTTGGGTTGGACAGGATGGGTAGGAGGGTCTTGGGTTGGCTGGGAGGGAGCGGGGAGGGTCTTGGGTTGGAGGGAATGGGTCGGGGGGGGGGTCTTGGGTTGACTGTTCCTAGAGGAGACTTTGGACCTGAGACCTGAATAACTATTAGTAGAAAGAACCAACCATCTGAGCAGCTGACAGGAAAAGTTTTCAGGCAGAAGGAACAGTGTTTGAGACATAGAAAGGCGATGGGGCCAGGGGAGGAAGCCTGAAGGAGGCAGGAAGTGGGCAGGGTTGACCACAGAAGACCTTGGGAGTGGGTTTATTCTCTGGACGATGGTGGCCACTGGGGCTGTAGCAGGGCACAGCCGGTGTCGTTCACGCAGTGTCCCTCTGGGCCCCCCGGGGAGAGGGCAGAAGGGCCCAACGACGGGAAACCCCAGCAGCAGCAGGCAGCTTACGCGTCCTCAACGTGTGCCAAGCAGTCCGCTGCAGGGGCTCTCGGTCTCCCCACGAGAAGGCATTTTCCTTTCCCTGCTCGCCTGGAGTCTTCTCCGTGCAGAAGGATTAGTGGGACTCCTGGGGTGCAGCTGCCCGCCTCGTACCTGCTGTCCCCGGGGAGCGTCCTGTCGCGGCAGGTGGAAGGCGCAGCTGGCGGCTGGGGCCGGGGTTCAGCAGTGGGCCCGGCGGGGGGCGGCGTGGGGCTGCCTCACAGCCCGGCACCCGGGGCGGAGCAGGGGCCTCCCCGGAGAGAGAAGCAATCTGGAAGACGGGCGTCTTCGCCTGAGAAGCTACGTCCCCACTGACGCCTGCTCATCTGCGAAAGGCGGGTGGACGGCCCTCTTGTCCGTGGGGGCGGGGAAGGTGAGCGTATCAGGGCCCCTTTTGTGGATGTGGGGTTCGTGCGGGGCGCGTTTGGACAGAGGCGGGTGGCAGGGCCTGGAGCCACGTGGGCGGCGGCCGGCGAGGGTGAGGTTGAGGCCCCTGCCCGAGGCGAGGGCGCAAGAGGCCGGGAGGGGGCCGAAGGGCGTCAGTGCCCGGAGCTGAGCACCAGCATCCGACCTCGAGCAGCGTCCTCCCGCGTTCCCCGGGCACCCCGCGGCTGGCTCAAGGGGTTCGTGGTCCCCGGGCCACCTACGCAGCTGGAGAGCGAGCAGCCCCCGGCGAGGGGTTCTGTTCTTTTCACAGCACCTCAGATGTTTCCGAAGCCAGATGCGCCCCGAGGGTGCCGCTCCCGTGTCCACGTCCGGACGGACGGGCTCCGGCGGCCTGGCCTCGCCCCTCTGCTCCCGCCTCCTGCCCGAGTCCCGTCCCCGCTTCCTCGGCGGCCCGAGGTGTGTGGGGACCCCTGACAGGTTGCTGACGCCCTGGGCTCGCTGCGTCACCGGAAGGGCAGAGGGGAGCCCTCGAGGCCGGGGCTTCTCCACCTGTGCCGTGCGCCCAGGCCGCCCGCGCCGGCTCCGAAGCCGCTTCTGACTCGATGTGCTCTGGTACGCGCCCATCTCACAGAGGAGAAAGCCGAGGCCCGGAAGCGGACTTAGCGTCGCAGAGCGGGCGTGGGGCTGCCCCCGGGCTTTCTGCCCGTCCCGTCTCATTTTATCACCTCTTCCAGGGAAAGGGGTCTCCCCACAGCCCCTCTGCCGCCTGCCTGCCCGGCGGCCCCGCGCATCTGACCCCCAGTCCCGCCTCTGGCATTTTTGTGCGAGGGCTCGGGACACGCCAAGAGTTTAAATAGCCCGTGACCTCATCCTGCCGGGCCTCCAGCCGCATGAGCTTTTTTTTCAGGAATTTTCTCCTCCTGCTACCAGCCCTGGGCACACTCACAGAGGAGTCATACTCCGCTGCGCCTCCCCCTTCCCGGAAGCCTGGCGCCCAGAGCGGGGGCAGGAGCAGCCTCTGCTCACTCCGACCCCGGCAGGGATGAGGGGAAAACACATGTGTGACGCTGTGGGATCGCACGAGCCAGCGGCGCCCGGCCCCCGCGTGTCGCGCGGCCCCGGCTGGCCCGTCACGGAGCCCGGGGCTGCCCCCCCGTGCCCTCCGCGCCCTCCCCTGCCCCCCGCGCACCCGGCAAGGGAGGGCCAGTTGGCTCTCCCCCGCCAGCCCGCGCCCCTGACCCGAGCTTCGCGCAGGGACTCTAGACCCTCTGCGGGTTGGCCTGGAGCCCTGCGGGCACCGGCCTGGGCTGCCCCTTCCTCCGATTCCATTAAATGCCCCCCCCCTCCTAAACTTGCTGCGTGGAAAGGACCCCAGAGGCCATTTTACCCATTTGTGAATCCATTCGTTCACCCTTTCACCCAGAGATATTTATTCATCATCTGATATGCACCGGACCCCGTCCTCAGGTGCTGGGCCAACGGCCATGAGCCTGCCAGACCCGCCTGCCTTTTCGTCTAGTCCCGCCCGCCGCCCACCACGTGGACACCCCCAACCCCACCAGCCCTGTGAACCGCCTCCCCCACTGCATGGCCCACCCCCCAACCCCGCCCACCGTGTGGCTCCCCTCCCCCACTGCATGGACCCCCGTCTTCCAACCCCACTCGCCACCTGGAACCCCCCCCACTGTATAGACCACTTTCCCCTCAACACCACCTGCTTCGTGACCCCCAACACTGCATGGACCACCCTCTTCCAACCCCACTCGCCGCGTGCCCCCCACCTGCTGTGTAAATGACAGCCCCCCATCGCCAGGACCCCCCCCCCCGCCCGTGGTGCCCATCAGTCAGTGGACCCTCCAGTACCCCTCCTGAGTGGAGAGTGGCTCAGCAGGCAGCTGTCAGCAGTGAGCAGGAACCCTAACTCTGCTTCCCTTGGGCATAAATCCTAAATTTGTCCTGAACTCACAAACTCTGTTTCCCAGTGCTTCTCCAGATGGCTCTCCACCCTGCGGTCCTTGTCCCCCAGCACCAGGGTCACCTCTGTCCTAAAATACATTCCTGGACCTGAGCCAGTGCCCAGGGGCCATGAGCACGACCCGAGCCGGGACACAGGTGCCCACCCCCACCCCCTTCCACCGAGGACGCCAGGATGAGGTGGAGTCTGAGCCCCAGGGGAGTGTTCGTTTTATTCTCCATAAGGAGCCGCCTGGACCCCCATTTGCCCCCTCCCCGTGACTTCCAGTCTGCAGACTCAGAGCAGCTCCCACGTCGGGACCGTTCGTCAGCCCAGGGGCAGCAGCTCAGAAAACCCACTCCTCGCCAATCTCCATGCTGGTGACTCTGGCCTGGGGCCCGACTCCAGAACCAGCCCCCCGCTGGGCTCCAGTGCTGAGAGCACCCCTGTCTCTCCTCTCCTGTCCCCCTGCTCCGTGCGACTGTCCTCCGTCACGAGACCATTCCCGGCGGTCCTGAGTCACACCCTCCCGGTTCGGACCTGGGAGCGCCTCGTCTGCTCTGCCGCGACCACAAGGAAGGCCGGAGCAGCCGGCCAGGGACCACCTGTGGGATGTGGCCGGGGTCACGCACTGGGGAGTCACCCCGGCAGGGCAGTTGTGGGCCCGTGCGCTGCTCCTGAGCGGCCGGGCTCTGCGCCCCTCTGGGTGCAGCCCGCCCTCTGTCGGGTGTCCCTCTCTGGTCTGTGAACCCCCTGAGGGGCAGCCAGCCCTGTCACTCCTCACGTGTGTCCTCCCATCGTCGCCAGCGCCCATCCCACAGTGGAGCCCGGTCACCGGCTCTTTACCAGGTGATGCTGCTTTTCTGCCCTACGATGGGGCCTTTCCTCCTACCCCTTCCTGTGCTCCCCGGCCTGGCGACCGGCCTGGCCATTCTCATCCAGGTGCTCAGGCCTCACCTGCTCCTCACGGGTTCCATCTATGTCATCTGTGTCCAGGTCATGCCCTGTCCCCGGGGCTGGCCCCCGTTGTCCTGCCTCCCTTCGCCTCCCCTGAGTCTCCTGCTTCATACCAAGTTGGGTGGTCTAGAAACTCTGGCCTGGCCCCACGCAGTGTCCACAGACAACTCTGAAGATCGGAGGAGACCGATTTTTTAGTCTGTTGGGATCTTTTGCTCTGTCACGTGATGCATTCACCGTCCGGGCTTGGCCAGCATGGAGTCTGCTCGCTGTCCCCTCTGCGTGTGCCTCAGACACTGACGGCAGTGGTTAGAGGCCAGGCCTGGGGGAGACCCTTGCACAGTCCC